TTTCATTGAAGATAGAATTCATGTTGCACATTAGGTATTTGGTGGATCGAACTAGACTCTTGATGTCAATTGTTAGAACTTGAAATCACCCAGTTGGTGAAAATTGAGTGATTGAGTGTGGAGAGGGATAAAGAGAAAATAGAGAGAGAATATAATTGAGTGTGAGAAACACACATTACATTGATAATGATACATCAAAGGTATTTGAACAATTATTACAAGCAGAACGTGACACAAGCAATAAGTCAAATAACAGAAAAAACAAAAATTTCATACCTATAACAGGTTACACTAAACCTATAACCAGTTGCAGCTGCTAAAAAACTAAAAAAATATTAACAATGGTAATCGGTTACTGCAAATGCGTAACCGGTTACACCCATGATAAAATCACTTTTCTTCATCTTGTATGACTTTTCTTCATACATGTAACCGACTACACACCGTGGTAACCGACTACACCTCTTAGTATCTGATTATAACACTTAAAATATAGATTTTCCCTTAACACAAAATAGTTCGTCCAATCTTTCTAATACCAAACAATTTATTTTTTTGTTATGAATAATGAATGATTAACTCCATGTAATTTTCTTTCTTATTTGTAATAATTTGTATTCATTAGTAATAAAGTAGTTCTCTCACAAATAAATTTTTTTATAAATTTTACTAGAGTTTTTTTATTTGATTTTTTCTAATAAGATTTTAATGAGATATATTCTTTATGAATACTAGCATCCAGACAGGCACTCGTGTGCCCGTCTGTCTGCTTTTTTAATGCGCATGAATGAAAATATAAACGATATTTTTTGTTTAAATAAATTTTTTAAAAGATATAATATGTGGAAGTTAATAATAAGATGTTATGTGGTAGTTAATAATAATAAGTTATTAAGTAAATTATATAATAAAGCAAGGGTAAAAATGGTAGAAAAATAAGCCACACCAAAACAAAGTATTCCCTTTATATATACTAGGGTCCGTCCAGACGGACACTGACGTGCCCGTCTGTCCGCTTTTCATAATACTCACGCGTGTAAAATATAAATTATATTATTATTTTAATTAATTTTCATTTTATTATTTATTATTTAAAATGATAATAGTAGATAATGGTATAAAAAATGATAAACCATCACATAAACACCATCTGTTAAAAAGAAAAGTTAAGATTTAAAATAAAAATTGAAAAGGATATATTTAAAAGAAAAAAAAGCTACACCAAAATCATATTTTCTCTACGTAGGTATATGTTAAAAAAATATGATTCATTGAGGGGTCTTATGGGAGAAGACCTTCTCAATGAAATTGGAGAAATGATATTGGTCTCCTCCCGAGGATTCATTGACACACACTTCAAAGCTAACTCAGGTATATGTACCCTATTTTCTCACACTTTCATTGACACACACTTTCATTTTCGTTTAAATATGTCTTTCTTGAGGGAGAAAGACATATTTGCGTTTGCATATTCATTTTCTCGCACTTTCATTTTCTTTTATTTTAAAACAATTTAAAGACATATTTTAAAACTAGTGGGATACTCGTGTGTTTGCATGGATACCGATATAATATATACATTTATTTCTAAAGTGTAATAAAGATAAAGTAAATAAAAAATAAAATGGTATAACCAAAAAAAAATTATTCCTTTATAAGAGAATAAATTGGTGTCTATAATTTTTTTCTATATAAAAATATTTGAATTAATAGTATTTTTCTTTTGTATGTAAATATTATTTATGTTTTGACACTATTTTTATTTTTCTAAAATTATTCTCATTTATTTAAATAAGATCATTTAAAAATATTTGGATCAATAATATATTTAAGTACTTATATACTAATTGATAATTTTCTATTATTTAATATTTTAATTAGCAATTTTATTTTTCCCGTTCACATAATCTCTTTAAATCCGTGGCTATGCACGGATACTTGTATGGTAGTAAAAATAAAAAGAAAAATAAAATAAAATTGCTTAATCAAACGAATTTATTATTTAGAAAAAAAAAGGACATATTTTTATTTATAATTAGATCATAAATAAATATTTTTTCATCTATGAGTTGTGGAACTTTAGAAATTACAAAATTTTGGAAAAAGTGATAATAACAATCATATAGGTAAAAGAATTATAAATTACAAGGGATGAAATAATTTGAAACTTAGAAAAACTCTAATATTGAATTAGTTTTGTGTTAGCAATTTTATTTTCTTTGTCTTCTTGATTTTTAGTGGGTGAATCCACATGATCACTTATAATTATTATTTTTTAATTAATCAAAGTTTATTGATTATATATATATATATATATATATATATATATATATATATATATATATATATATATATATATATATATATATATATATATATATATATATATATATATATATATATATATATATATATATATATATATATATATATATATATATATATATATATATATATATATATATATATATATATATATATATATATATATATATATATATATATATATATATATATATATATATATATATGTGGATAAACAATAAATTTTTTCGTAAGTAAATATTATTTTTGTCTTATTTTTTTATTATGAGTTTAATATGTATTATTCCAAAAATATATTAATTTTATTTTTTATCATTAAATAATTAAAAATATTTCATATTATCATACAACTTTGATACTATTAAATTCATATATTACTTATGTATTTTATATTATCATACAATTTTGATACTATAAAATTCATACATTACTTATGTATTTATTTTTATAATATTATCAATTTTTATATTATAATACATTATCTTTTGTAATCTTTAATTTTTAATGTATTTTATCTGTCTTATTTTATGTTTCTAGTATTTACTTAAAAATATTTAGATCAATTTAATATTTTTTTTAATATTTAAATAATAATAATCATGTATTTTTTTGTATTTGATCAACAATAAAAATATTTAATAAATTTTAGCAAAAAATTATCATAAATTTATAGTTACAATCATTGTAGTCAATTTTTTATATTTTAAAATCAGTCACAGAAACAAAAAACAAAGTAAAAAAAAATATCATTTCAAATCATTCATACATTGGATATCATTCTATAGTAAACATGCATTTAAAAGATTTAATTTCTCTATTCTTTCACAAATATAATTTAGTTATCATTTAAAATATGCTTATTTTTCTTAATTAAAAATTATTGCATATTTAATACTTTTATGATAATTAAAAACATGTTTATTAATTATTTAATAATTTTCTTATTCGCTATATATAAATATTAATTATAAATAGACAATAAAAATATACATTTTTATTAGTTTCTATATAATTAATATATTGTAATAAAATTAACATTTATAATTATTAGTTATACAATTCAATACATAATCTATAATATATATAAAGTTAAAATTTATTTTTGGTGTAGTTTTTTTTATACCAATTTTACCCTTATTTAATAAAAGATATTGTGTAAGTTACATATAAATAAGGGTAAAATTGATAATAAAAAAAACTACACCAAAAATAAATTTTGCCATTATACTAGTATCAATTTTTTTTTGCTAGTGAAGCATTGATATATTGTAATGATAGAAAAAAAAGCATAAATTTTATTAAATACTATTGAGAATAGATAAAAAATGCCCATAATAATAGCTGGAATTAGAGTGATAAAATAGGGTTCACTAAAAAAATTAGGGTACATATACCTAAATCATATTTTCTCCATATATGTCTTTCTCTCTATAACAAAATCATATTTTCTCCCGATATGTCTTGCCTCCCGAGTGCATAAAAATCAATGAATCATACTTTTAGTGTAGCTCTTTCATTGATTTTATACCTACATAGGGTTCTTCGATTTCACGAACAAGACAAGCATGTAGAGTAAAAATAAGACATATTTCTTCAGACGGACACGTAGTGTCCATCGGGAAGAAACAAAAGCAATGCACAACAAACATGTAGAGTAAAAATAAGACATATTTCTTCAGCTATTATCAATTTGATACTCATGTCAATTCTTCAACTTATTTCACGAGTACTCTAGTTCAACAATTTAGTTATCAAATTGAATTCTAAAATATTTTTGAATTGGGTCGGTTGATTGTCGGTCCTAATAATAAATAAACTAGTTTTACATTGGCATTATATTCCATGAATCGAACTTTAGCATATAAATAAAGATAGATAAAAAATGAGACTAATCAACCCAAAAAAAGCATCATGTCCTAACCAGTGAAAAATATGATTTTGGTATAACATATATGAAGTTTAGTGTAGCACAATTGATTAAGAAAAAGGTTATACCAAAAATATTAGCACGCATGCCCACACATAAAAATATTTATGATATTTTTTATTTAATATTAATTTTTATTTAATATTAATTTTAAAAAGAAGTTATATAGGATTTTAAAAAAAAGTTATATAGGAAGTTAATAATAAGAAATAATGTAAGAGATAATAGTAATAGTTTTAATAGAAGATATTGTATAAGTTACTTATAAATAAGAGTAAAATTGATAATAAAAAAAGTCACACTAAAAATAAATTTTGTCTTATATAGAATAGGTAGAGCCTATTTTACCTAGCAATCATACAACCAAAACTGCATCATCTACAATTCATATAGCATTTTTACCAATCTACAATTCATATAGCATTTTTACCAATACAGATGGCTGTTATTAACGATAAATAAAAATAGAGTTTCCGAGAAAAATTAAAGAGAGACACTTTGGACTGAATATTTGAGTTTATATAACACTGCTTTGGACATGATGATCCAACCATGTGCGCTAACACTAGGCTAAATTCATTTGATCTAATACTTGTTCAATAGTTTTCTTCTTCCAGGCCCTCTAAATTTGAGAAAATAGTAATCTCAAGAATATTAACTTGTAGATACATAGGAAAATGCTTTTTTGAAATGGATAGTTATCCTTGCACATAGTTAAAACTATCTCAAATGGTTTTATTCAAACATCTCACCTAGCATTTAAATCAAATTCACCAACTTCACGCCAGCCATCGGGCATGCCAGAGTCACCATTTTCAGCTTCGTCATTCAAGAAATCCTCAGACGGCTCCTTCTCATCTCTCTGTGCATTGTTTCCCCATCCATTCATCATTTCACTGTGATCCTGATCTCCTAGGTCATGGCCACCAATCACAATATCACTGCCTTGGGAACCAAGTGCACTCCCTCTTATGGGGGCTCGAGACATCATTTCAACATGAGATTGTGAATCAGCCCTTGCCTGCTGCTCTGCTTGATACATTGCAGCCATCCGTAGTTTAGCCTCGTGGGCTTCACGACCAGCTTTCTCCCTGGATTCTAATTCAGCTCTTAATTCTATCAAAGCCCGTTTTTCCTCTTGAAGAAGTGCCTGTTCAATCATCAGTCTCTCCTCAGACCGAAATTCCCCCAAACTTCTCTTCTGCGATATTATGTTGAAGGCAAGTGTTTGCTTCTCAAAAGTTGCTGTAAATTCGGCAATTTTAGCAGCAATATTATTATCCCACTGTTGGGACCTCGAAAGCATCTGGCCAGTTGTATCGGAATCAAGTATCCTATCATCCTCTTCTGCTTCATAATCTGCCACAACATGATATGGCAATAATCTGCAGCAGGAAAATTTAGGGAAATAAATGCAAGAGCAAACTTCCTTTGCATTAGAATCAAAACAAAGCAATTTTTTTAGTTATAAAAATACCTACATTTGCAGTATACTAATAAACCAGTAGAATTCCAGATTGATTTATAAACAGGGTCGATGACAAGGAAAGTAAAGTTTGAACACTAGATAACATGTTCTGAACAATTCTAAGAACAGAGAAAGGAGAACATGAAATAAAATTAAATGGGGAAACCAACATGAAAGAGTTCTGCAAAGCAGATGTGTAGCAAATACAAATAAAAAGCAGGTTGCAATAAGAGAAACTGCAAGTGAAGAGATAGACTTGGTATTCGGTCCACAAAACAGATACTGAATAATATTTAGATGCATAGAACTGATTGGGAATTGGATATATAAGCATATAACAAAAACACCAACTAGAGGTGCATTTGAAATAGCCTATTTAAGACTTATTTGAACTTATCTTACGACATAAGCACTTGCATAAGAGTTTCAGAGATAATTTATTCTCAAGAGCTTGTTTTATAAAATGAAAAATACTTGTTCAACAAACACTTCAAGTTGGTTTTCCAATGCACCCTACATGTTTTGACTGCCTCCGCCTTAAATAAATTATCAATAATACTAGAAGTTTCTTTCTGATCTATGTTGTTAACTATGTAGTTAAATGGGACAAATAGTGCCACTATCGTGGACAGAGGGGGCCACCCCCAGACGTGTTGTTCCATACCAAAAACGAGTGGCAATCACGGTGGCTGCATTGGCGGCGGTATATCGCAGAACAGCTCACACGATTTGCAACACTACGTATGCGGGAAGAAGACAAAAGAAGAAGTCCAAATTACCCTTAAAATTGATAGTTATGGGGCTATTTTCAGTTTTCCCTCCCAATAAAACTCAAACCCCCAATTAAGAACCCTTTTTATTATCTCATGCAAAAAGTCTTTCTCTTCTTTTTTTCCTCACCACCACTTCTAGGCCCCACCATCCTCATCCTCGAAGTTGTACACGCCTCTGTCTGCCACTTTTGCACCCTCCTCATTATTTCTGGTTCCTCTGTTCCTGGTTCACACCTCCTCCGCACATGCCTTTGTCTCTGTTTCTGGTTCTTTGCTTTTCTGGTTTGGTTTGCAGCTCTCCCTCCCTCTATTTCTGTTTCATTTTTGGTTTTGGCTCTGTTAACAGTTTTTCAGCTCGTGTTTCATTTTTGTTTTGAAATTTGATTGAAGTTATGTTCACTATCCAGGATTGACAACATAGTTTCTACACTGAAATTTGTTGTTTATCTCACTTTTATATAAATGTATCCAAACATAAATCACTTTACATCCAACTCACTTTTAACCGGAATGAATTCTCCTGACAGCAGAACCAAACATACACTAAGAAACCGGAATGAATTCTCCTGACCGCAGAACCAAACATACACTAAGAAAAACTAGCAATAACATCCTACTTACATTTTGCTAGCACACAAATAAATGTCATGAAGTAAAAGTTTCCCGATATGAAATTAGTTTGGAGAAAAATAAAATCTTAGAATTCAAAACCCTGAGTTATAGAAAAATATTTTTGGGCCTTATCTCATATTTAATGAATAGAGATGAGAGAAAGAACCTGTCGCAGGCATCTTCGAGAGAAGAAAAAGGTCGCTTGAAATCGGGGTGGCAGACCCGCCAAGCGTCTTGGTAAGCCATCTGGAGCTCCATTTGATTACCGGGTGGGCGAATAATCTTTTGTTGGGGCTGCTGGTGTAGATTGTTTGAATTAGGGTTGTGCTGGTGTAGATGGTTTGAATTAGGGTTTGAATTAGGGTTGTGGTGTAAATTGAGAATGGGATTAGGATTAGGGTTCTGTTGAAGATTGAGGGGTCTTATGGGACGCAAGTGAGCGTCAATGTTGGAAGGGAAGCGAGAAATTGCGGATGATTGCTGTTGCTTTTGCAATTGCTGTAAGAGCAAAAAATGTTGTTGTCGCTGTTGTTCTTGGATCAACTGCTGCTGTTGCATTCCCTTTGTTTCTTCCATTTTTTTTTTCAGAAAATAAATTGTTACTCTATCTCGCTTCCCTCCCGGAGCAAAAAAATTGATACGAGTATCAATTCCAAATGTTGTGAATCATAGGACAACGCAATAGTATTTGCTTTTTTTCATGCATTACAATATATCAATGCTTCACTGGCCAAAAAAAATTGCAAAACTTGTTTTTGTGTAGTTTCTTTTATTATCAATTTTATCCTTATTTACATGTGATTTACACAATAGTTTTTATTAAATAATGATAAAATTAATTTTTAAAAAAAAACTACACCAAAAATAAATTTTACTTTTATATATATGTTATAGATTATGTATTAAATTATATAACTAATAATTATAAATATTAATTTTATTATAATATATTAATTCTATAGAAACTATTAAAAATGTATATTTTTATTGCCTATTTATAATTAATATTTATATATAGCGAATAAGAAAATTATTAAATAATTAATAAACGTGTTTTTAATTATCATAAAAGTATTAAATATACAATAATTTTTAATTAAAAAAAATAAGCATATTTTAAATGATAATTAAATTATATTTGTGAAATAATAGAGAAATTAAATCTTTTAAATGCATGTTTATGATTGAATGATATCGAATACATGAATGATTTGAAATGATATATTTTTTTATTTTGTTTTTTTTTTGTGACTGATTTTAAAATATAAAAAAATTGACTACAATGATTGTAACTATAAATTTATGATAATTTTTTGCTACAATTTATTAAATATTTTTATTGTTGATCAAATATGAAAAAAAATACATGATTATTATTGTTTAAATATTAAAAAATATATATTATTGATCTAAATATTTTGAAGTAAATACTAGAAACATATAATACTTTATATATGGAATATCCTGCTGTTAATGTATCTTTCAAATTGGAATCTGGTTTAATAAACTTATTGCCAAGATTTAATGGTCTTGCAGGTGAGGATCCAAATAAGCATACGAAGGAATTCCAAATTATGTGCTTTAAACCTTCTGAACCTTCACTAGAGGACCTTGTCAAGCAAATGGCTATAAATGGTCTTCCGTTTCAGCAACAAACATATTCAAGTCTTCAGGCTTTGCAGACACAGATTGAATAGCTTGTCATGCAGCAAGTTCAAGAATCAAACCAACCACTTGCCCAAATAGTAGTGAATCCAAAAGAGTTTCCTTCTAATTTAGTTGATGATACTTATTCTGAATTATATTTTGATTTTTCATCATTAACAGATTTTGATGATACTTACTCTTGTGATTCATGTACCGACACTAACATTTTCTCTGTTTGTGCTGAGATTAATGTTGCCGTACAGGATTTTCATGCAGATGAAGTTTTTTATGTAGCTAAAACTCTTAACATCACGGCTTCTCCAACCTCACCATCCATTGAACAACCTCCCCCTTGGAGCTTAAACCACTTCATAACAATCTGAATTATGCTTATTTAGATACGGATAAAAAACTTCCAGTTATAATTTCTTGTAACCTTGATTCTTATAAAGAAAATAAGCTTTTTCAGGTTTTGAAAAAACATAAGAAGAGACTTGGATGGACCTCGATTAAAGAGAGAAGAAAAGCAGTGAGACAACCCTTTAATCCTTTGTTCTCGATGTTGTGGAAAAGAATATCTCATTTACGTGCCCATTCTACACTTTTATTTATGGAAGATTCTTATTTGATCCTGGAATAAAAGGCGAAGGCACAATAAAGGGCTATGGATGCTATCCAAAGTTAATCCCCACTTTGGAAGAGGAGACTACAAAAAATCTCTCTTTGGGAAAGGATGCATATGTGATCACTTATCCACATTGACTCCTCCGGTGTGTTCTTTCCTTTCTCTCACTCTTATTTTATTTTTATGTCCTTTCATTGAGGACAATGCTTGTTTTAAGTCTAGGGGAGGGAAACCTTTGTTTTATTTGCTTGTTTTACTATTTTGTTTTGTTTTCAGTTATAATAATAAAAATTTAAAAAAAAATTTGCATCTTTTTGAAAGTTCTAGGCTAAAGACTAATTTGAGATTATTTTACGGAGACTTGGAAAAAATTCACAAGATCGGTATCGTCTTAACACCGTAAGTCTCCTGCATGTGGAAATTGATTTGAATATTCTTTATGTTTTAGCCTTAAATTTTTATTCTCTGACAGCTCTTGAGTAGTTTATTTCAGCAGTCAGTACCATCTTATACACACTCTACGCAGGGAAGCCGATGAATATAAGTGAATGATCAAATTTTTAGCTTGAAAAAAAAAAAGAAGAAGAAAAGAAATGGAATACACCTTAACGGATGTAGAGTCTTAAAAAAAGTTGAAAAAAAATACTCGTTGTTAGTTGGTTCAGCGGTTTCTGGTGCTGAACTTGGTAGGCCCCCACAACTACAACTAAGTAAGCAAAGGGTTATGCCATGCAAGTACCAGAACCTCAAACAAAAAGGATCAGAGTCACTAACCGGTCGCCTTGCTATGAGTGTGTGGAGATAACGAGCTTAATGTGATTGATCCTGAATGAAAAAGAGCAAAAAGGAGGAAGAGTAAGTTAGACTTTAACATAATAGCATGATTTGAGTTGATTTGTGTATTCAGGAGTCTTATGTACGCACAATTGTGGATTAATGTTCCTACGATATCCTTAGTGTGTAAGATTAGTACCTATCGATGCAAACTTAACCGAAGAAGACTTAATGCCTTAAATGAGTAACGGTTGATGTGTTTGTGCTTTCTTTGTTTTGTTTTATTTTAATTTTGCTCGGAGTGCAAAAGTTCAAGTGTGGGGGAATTTGATCAAGGCATCTTTATGCACATTCTCCTATATTTTTACTTAGACATTTATTTACTTTATTTTGATTATTCTTATATTTTATTATGTTTTTATATTTTATTTTATTTTTGGTTTAATTTGATTTTCGCACTTTATTTTTCAGCTTTAGCAGTCTGTGCGGAAACGATCATAACTGGAGTTCCGGTAATCCGTTTGAGGCGTTCTGAAAATCGCCGGAAAGCTAAGAGAGAGATCTACGACTTTCACGTTAGAGTCGAAGTCAAATTTGGAGCATATTTTTCCAGAATATTCGTTGAAGTTACAACATTAGGAATTTGTTTTAGTTTTGGGTCATGTTTTGGGTCTGAGTTATATTTTCGACCCAGTTGGGTTTTGAACCGGATCCATTGTTTTTCTTTTTAGGGGAAATCTTGTTTTACTATTAATTATATACTATTCACGAAAAAAATTGAAAGAAAGGTTTGAGAAGAACTCATGGAAAACTAATACCTCCGGGCAAATCCTGCTGTGTACGGTTTCAACACTTTGAGGTTATTATAATATCAATTTAAATCTGATTCCTTTCAATCCTTTTCTATGAAGTCATTTGCTTAATTTGATTGCAATTGTTTGCTTAATTCAATTGTTGTTCATATGATAGAATTGATTAAATTCGATTGTATGCATGTTCCTAAATTTAATTATGTGTTATCGTTTGCTTAATTCACTAATTTGTCATATTCTTAACCATTTGCTTAATTCGGTAAACAGAAACATAATTCATTTGATGTTGGTAAACGCTTGTCTGATTAATATCATAATCGAATAGGATTGGAGCCGTTTAGAGATTGATGTTATAATAGCCGATGATAAGTCGGAACCCGAATCAGTAGGATTAGCCGTTTTAGCTTATTTTAATAATCGTTTTTTTTATAGTCACTTATTTTAAGTATTTTTTCTCTTAATCAAAATTCAAACCCCCATAAACTGTTACTTTATTGGTCAATCACTACAAGAATCCTTACTCGAGTCATTGTCGCTAAACTACCGTTTTCCAAACTACTCGTTTTGATCCGCGCGCGACAGCGAATCAATTACAAACAAAAAATATTGTTTGTAATTGAAGATCTTATTGAGGATAGATAAAAAATGTTGACCTTTAGCAAAAAAATTATTACTTTACTAGTATCAATTGTATTATTTTGAATGGATCCAAAAGTACAATGTATCATTGTTACTCTTTCACTCCGGTTATACTCATATCAATGTGTCTGAATGCATTAGTGTTTTATACCTGAGGGGTCTTATGGGAGGAAAGAAAAAGTCACACCAAAATCATATTTTCCCTTTATATATATAGATATAGATTCAAAAATGAGTATTATAAAGACAAGATTATTAATGTCCATCAATAATATTAATTTTCATTTAATACCTATGTTCTATAAACATTTAATACCTATATTCTATAAATAAAACTATAGGGTAAACATTCACTTTAAATAAGAATGTTGGAACTATAATAATTATAGTTATAGAAATTGAAAAGTGAATTTGAAAAGATTCATTTTAGTCCCACATTGGATGTTGGAATTATATTAATGGGAATTGGAAAGTGAATTTGAAAAGATTCATTTTAGTCTCACATTGGATGTTGGAATTATATTAGGGAATTGGAAAGTGAATTTGACAAGATTCATTTTAGTCCCACATTGGAGGAATGGAAATATCAGCCTCACTAGCTACCTATAAATAAAGGGTAAAAATTCAGTAGTGAGCACTCCAGATTTCACAAATTCACACGAATTTTGATTTCCCTCTCTCTCCCTTAATTCTCTTCATCTAAACAATTTTTTTTTCTTGGTTTTTTCGACGGGCTATTTCAGCCAGTATATTTTGGCAGTACGGCGAAACGTCTTAAAAAAAGCGACCTAGTACGCGACTCGTCCCGATAATTTCCTTGTGCCAATATTTCAAATCCGAAAACAACAGAGAATAATATAAAAAAAAAAACTCTCCTCTTCTCCATTGGTTTGCTTATTTTCAATGAAACTTACAAACGAATTATCTAATAAAAAATAAAAAATAACTATATGATCTATAAAACCGGCCATTCAAATAAGCTACCCCCACGGTTGGGTTCATGTCATGGAATCGAAATCATAAACTCAACCAACCACCTTACTTCCGGTAAATTTACACATGATCAATTGAAGTAGGCAACCCCAATTCCATTCCTATTAATTAAGGTCTCACAATCCAGAAACCCCGTTCTCTTTCTCTCGCTGGTTCCTACTACTACAACTACCAGAAACAGGTACATCTATGCTCCTCTTTTCCCTCTTCTGAACTGTTTGCCAAATTGATGTCTCTATCCTCTTTTCACATAACTGTAATTTTTTATTTTGAAGTCTAACTGTTTGTTTTATTGCCTAACCTACTTCACTCACCTATATTATTTGATCAATGAATCCAACTCCATCTAGTGGAAAAAAACATCAGTTGAATTCCAGAAACATCAGAGTTAGGAGAGATCAATTTATCATGGAAATATACTTCTTTGAATTGTAGTTGTTACAATGTGTTTGTCAATATGTAGGTTGTGTTGTTTACATGTAGATTTGGTTTGGATAGCTTAGTTATTATAAGGTAAAGGAAAATTAATTTTAATTTAATAAATTTCTCTTTTTAATTTAACTCCGTGTCTGTGTGTGCTAAGGATACCATTGATATGTAGATAAAACAAAATTTATGATGAGATAGGATGTAGAATCCAAGGTAAAGATTTATCAAGAATTGTTTAATGGTGATTTTGTCATCTTTAAATTGAACAGCATATCTATGTTTTCATTTCATCACATTAGTCTTTCATTGTTGCCTTTCGTCTGTTTTCTCCAGAACACATAGTAAGTTCCTAAACTCGCTCCAAAACTCCCCTAGCTAATGTCTTACTGGCAGCCATAGGGGTGCCCTTAACAGATTTAGCTCCTCACCCCTAAAAAAACTCCTTATTCTTAATTTCACCGAATGCCAATGTTTTGTGTTTATTAGTTCTATCATCCTCATGCCTGAAAATGGAAAATGATTTTCAAGAACTTACTCACTAGTATATCAAACTTCTAATATATTACCTATGTTTATGTTTGATTTGTACAAATTGGAAAAATATGCCGAATGGAAATTGCATTTGACTAGCTCAGATTGATGCACTTGACTGCAAAGTAGGCTGTTTTGCAGTAAAAGGAAACTACTTTCTGGTAAGAAAATGTCAAGACTCAGATAATCCAAATAGAGACCAAGTTATGCTACCCCGCAATTTTTGTGTTCTCTGTATATTTTCTTCCTTAATCCGTTATCTATCTCTGGATACGTGTTCCGAGGTTGAGAATGAAATGATTGGGTTCTGTTAGTTTTTCTTTAGATTGTGTTTGGAAAGTATTAAATGCTACTTTGCTGACGTTTTAGATGTTGTTTTTATAGTAGGTGCTTATAGAGAGAGACGCCATGGTGCCTGCTGCCGGGGTTGCCACTGCACAACCTCTTTTTTCATTTGGATTGATTTCTGACGTCCAATATGCTGACATTCCTGATGGTCGCTCATTCCTTGGGGTTCCACGGTATTATAAGCATAGTATTCTTATTTTGCAGAGAGCAGTTAAAGAATGGAATACTCATCAGAAGCATAAATTTGTGATTAATTTTGGCGATATTGTTGATGGGTTTTGTCCCAAAGATCAATCTATTAATGCTGTAAAGAAAGTTGTGGATGAATTTGAAATGTTCAGGGGACCTGTGTATCATATGATTGGAAATCACTGCCTGTACAATCTTCCTCGAAACAAGTTACTTCCATTATTGAAGATCCAAACCCTTGGTGGTTGTGCTTACTATGATTTCTCACCAGTGCCGGAATATAGATTTGTAGTTCTGGATAGCTATGACATCAGTGCCATTGGGTGGCCTCGAGATCATCCAAAAACATTGGAGGCCTTGAAATTGCTAAGAGAGAAGAATCCAAATGAAGATAAGAACAGTCCAACAAACTTGAAGGGGCTTGAAAGAAGGTTTCTTATGTTTAATGGAGGCATCGGAAAGGAACAGATGGAATGGTTAGATGGTGTTCTCCAGAATGCAACCGAATTGAAACAGAAGGTGGTTGTCTCTTCCCATCTGCCTCTAGATCCCTGTGCTACATCCGAGGAGGCGCTGTTGTGGAATTGTGATGAAGTGATGAATTTGATACACAGATACAAATGTGTTAAAGTCATTCTTGCTGGACATGATCATAAAGGTGGGTACTCCATTGATTCTCACGGGGTACACCATAGAGTTTTTGAAGCTGCGCTTGAATGTCCTCCTGGCACAGATGCATTTGGAAGCGTTTATGTCTATGATGACAGGATATCACTTATAGGAACCGACAGAATGGCGAGTACAGACATGCATTTTAGTCCTCAATAATTTCAATTTGTATGACATGTTGTGTTGATGTTTGGAAGACACATTCTTTGATCAATAGTTAATGTGATCTCTAGAGTACTACCCAAGTTGGAATAACGCTGTTGCGATTGGTACCGGGAATTTGCAAGTTCTTGAATCAACATGCTCCTTCCTGTTGAGAGAGGCAAGAATGCAACGTGCAGCATTTTGGACTCACCCATGTATGTGATTTGTAAATCTGTTGTGCAATTTTGCTTAATTGCTTTGCATAGTTTAGTGAAAACCTTGTTGTGATCATGTAACTGATGTTATGTACTGTTTGAGTTATTTACAAATTTTTATCACTTTTCCATACTAAATCACTGCTTATTAGAGTGTTTTCTATGTACTTTCAGACCTTCCACTTACTTCATGGCAAGTGCTGTAGGGAATCAATTATATTTTTCAAACAGTAGTAAATATCTATACAAGTGGTGTAAGGTGTAAAGTTAAAGAGATATATTTTAAGAGGTGAAAAGATGTTCTAGATTCTTAGAAAATTAAAGTGAAGCTGCTTGGAAATATCCAATTATACTATTTCATGAATTGAAGTCACTTTCCTCTCATACACCCCTTCCCTCCGACTTTTTAAATGTCGTTTTTTAAAATTTTTTTTTACACATATTAACATAACTAATAATTAATAATTATTATTACTTTTTAAATGATATATTTTTTTCAAATAAAACCCTTAACTTTTTAGTAATTTTTTAAATTTTTTTTCTCTTTCTATAATAAATGATTAGAGGTGATTTTAAATCCTAAAATCAATATTACTTTAAATTTTAAAGTAACACTTAAAAATGAATAATATTTTTTCTAAAAGGTGATACTTAAAAAGAAAGGGAGAGAGTAAATAATAAGACACGCAAACCATTAAGCTATTAAATTGTATATGTATGGTATTTTGGAGGACTTTAGCGAAGCATTTCACCTTACACTTTGAGGGATTGTGTATATGTTTAAGAGATTGTGTATATATTTGGTCTCTTAGGTCGGGTTTTAGTGCGAGTCGTAGTCAATCCGAATCTAATAAAACTCACCCTGCATGGAGTATTTCATCAAGATATGATGGAGGACTTTAGCGAAGCATTCCACCTTTACACGTTTGAGGAATTGTGTATATGTTTGGTCTCTTAGGTCGGGTTTTAGTGTGCGTCGTAGTCAACCCGAATATAATAAAACTCACTCTGCATGGAGTATTTCATCAAGAAGAACGTGATCAGACTAAAATAACTAACGGGCTAGAATTTTTTATGTTGGGCAAAAACTAATGGGCTAGAATTTGTTAGGTTGGCCAAAGTCTATTATATATCAATATCAGATGAAGATATGATTGAGAAAACATTTATTACTAATGAAGGATATCAAGATCTAGGATACGAGACAATTAAACTAGATTATCAATCATCATTAGGAGGTCATAACAATCAGGATCAATCATATTGAATGACCTTTATTGGGCTTTCATGTAAACTATGTCTTAATTGCTATATAAGGAGGAGAACACGAGAGGAAAATTATTCACAATTCACGAGATTCTTTAACTACGGTTTTACAATTCTCCACTCATAGATCTATCAATTGGCGTACTTTTACAAGTACATTTGAAGTCCACTGTAGGGCCTGGTAAAAATAACCTGAGCCACACACCTTTTCCAATATCGGTCCAATCTCAGCTCATGATGACAAGGGAAATGACCATTAGCAACAACAACCCAATGGTGACCATGTTGCAATAGAGGAGATGCTAGCCACTATGGATGAGCTACGTCGCCATGACAAAGCGTTATATGAGTATTAATGACTTATAATAACAATAACACAAAGAGGCGAAGGTGGACAAGGAAAAGGAGCCCACAAACCCCCAACCACTCATAAAAGAAACATGGGAAACACAGGTTTTTGGAAACTTCAAGCCACTGCCCTTGGTATCATTTGACGGCAAGAGCGATCTATAGGAGCATATCATTTCCATCCACACATAGATGACTATTGTTTTGGGCTGCCCGCAAGGCCCAATAAGCAAAGCCCAATGGCAAAATAAACGACTATCTCATGTAGAGTAAGCATATTTCCCCCCTCAGCGTTATAGGTTATCCATCACGTGGATACCATGTCAATCTCTCAAAATCCATCCAACGGTTAACCGCATCCCACACATAAGCAGTAGTCAACCATCTCCCCCACTTAAAGAGGAAAACACACAACACTTCAAGTATCAAAATTATTCAAATTCAAAATCCTCTTTTCACACTCTTACTAACTTGAGTGTTGGAGTGCTAACCTTGCAGGTTAACCCCCTCTCCACCGTATTGGAAATCTTGAACCACTGTAACAAACTAAAAATTCATCCTCAATAATCACTAACCAGCTCTTGAGCAGACATTGGTGTCGTCCCTAGGAACCGACTCTTGATTCCTATGATTTCTATAATCCACTATTTTTCAATTCGACTAAATCAGACTCAAAGATCTTTCGTTTGAAGCACAGATCTTCATATCCAAATTAATTTTGTCAAGGTCGGAGTCAAACTCTTTCCATCAAATCCATCAGGCGATGGTAATTTCCAAAGGCACTTGTTCTTTCGTTCAACTACAAGCATTTGCAACTGCCGAAGCAACTAAATTCCTTTGTCTCTTCCTCGGAGGACGGACAATCAAGTCACAATAACTACTCATTCTACTCCTTAACCGCTGAAATTTGTCTAGCCTAGGCTAGATGAAGGAACTTCTCAACTTCCTTCATTCATAGGTCCCACTTCATAACTCCCAATAAGCAAACCTTTCTTAAGACCTAAGTTATCTCCTACTGTAACCACACATGAATCACTCTCATATTTCCAGCTCTTGTAGGATAATCTTAGCCCGCAATGAGCTAATGAGTTGTTGAACATCATATACTAAATAATTTAGAAAAAAAAATTCCAAGCTTTGGCAGAATACTAACTTGATTGAAGAAAGCCCACACAATGCTATTCCGAAGAATAACACTGTGCAGGAGGCAATCGACGAGGCAAGAATGGATTCAGAAGAGGTCCAAAAATCTCCAAGCTGCCAACGACACATGCGTCATACTCATTCCTCTTATCCCAAAGAATGAAGGGGTAGCCACATTCCTCTTGAAGTCCCCCAACCTACTGAATGACCTGATATGAAGTATTCAGAGAATGCTCTAAAGCTCTAGAGTTACAATGGAAATGAAGACATGGACAAGCACGTTAAGCATGTGGATGGCTGACTAGACTACTACCACGTCAATAGAGATGTGAAGTGAAAGCTCTTTGCATTGACCTTAACTAAATAAGTCCAAGCTTGGTATAAGTCCCTCCCAAACAAAAGCATAAAATCTTGGCCTGACCTATGCGAGCATTTAACTGCCAAGAAAAGATAACCAACCACCATGGCCTTCTTAGTGTGCAAATATATCGACCGCTTCATCAAGGTAGCAGTAGTTGTTTGAGGCTTAGATGATAGCCTAAAGTGTTAGATCTTTAAGAAGGGCCTTATACTGAATTATGTATTCTAGGAGAAATTTGTATGCAAGGATGCCCACAAACCAAAGGACTTTTGATGTAGTATCCAAACCTGTTTCAGTTATGAAGAAAAGTTGTTGTCTGATGGAGGTAGTTGGGTACTAGGAAACACTAGATCTAGTTGGGAATCAGAAAAAGACTTTGGGTGATCGAAAATGGAAAGCGAGTGTAGACCCCGTGCAAGGTTTGACTTGTATACATCTTTGAATTCAAATGAAAGGATCCCGAAGGAGTATGATAATATGGAGTTCAAGGAGGCTCGAGGGCTTATAAAGGGTCTGATCTGCAAGCCTTCAATGACACGTAACCCGCCCATGAGGGTACATAGAGCTTATGGTTACCTTGGAGGAGGGACGCGATATTAGGATGATCGACTCCCAATTTCTATTCTTTCCTTGCAAGAGCATTTACAATTGCTTCCTGGGACGACCCTTTGCAACAACCCTGGATGCGGTGGCTTCCCCAATTCTCCTCAAGATGAAGTACTACAATGTAAAAAACAGCCAATAGTTAATGTTGATAGGACATGGAATATTAGAAAGAAAGTGAAGCTAAGGCCATGGAAATCAATGTAGCATATTTGATCGTTCAACCAGAACACATGGCCACCAAACCTCTCCCATGTAAGTTAGACCAGATGGAAATAAATGGTTGAATGTGATTGATCTGGATAACACACACACAGACATACGTGCATGCACACACACACACACACACATGAATGCACACACACACACACACACACATGCATAAGATGTTGAAACATCGTGTAAGATATCTTGATTTTCTTCTCAAGTTGACAAGCACACAAGATGTTGAAACATCTTGTAAGATATCTTGATTTGTTTCTCAAGTTGACAAACTTCATAGATATTTCCTTATTCAATTTTGAGTTCAGTACACATATGACAACCTTCCTTGCAACAACCCCCAACTTTCTGTACCATGTCTTAGTTTCAGTTTCTAACATGTCTTCCATTATGTCTAAAACATGATATTTAACATTCTGTTATACAGTTCTAGTAACTACTATCTTCATCCTTACATATTTCTTTCTATTATCGATATCACAAGATGTAACATAGTTTCTTTATTTTATCAATTGTTTATTGCAGCTGCTTTCAAAATAACAATTTCCATAAGAGAACACCTTGTGGGAGGAATAAACAATATGAATAAGAATATTAGGCTTACCAAACCGAACTTGTTAATGATGCCTTTGAAACATCTCGTTCCACTGAAGATGCATATGTTGATGGTGTGATTGACTATCATGCAACTTATAATAGTACAAGGGAATGAAGGAGACACAATTAATGTATTGGTAATCTTGTTTGACCAGATGTTGAGACATGTTACCTTACATTGTGCAATTTTATTTTTTAATAGGAGTAATACACTTTGAATTTGATGGCTCACTGGTATGTATAACCTTTTTCATGTCTTT